ATCAGAGGTAAAAAACGATATAAATACTGTTCAGTTTCTTGCACAGACCGATCGTTTCGTGTCTTTACAGATCAATGTATCGTCACGAGCCGCAGGGTTTAATTTGGTTTTGTTTGTGTATGTTTTTTTTGACTCTCAAAGCCGTGATTCCCATCCACTGCCATTATAGGACTGACAGACTGCAACGGTTTGAGTTAAAAATCTTCGTTTGTGTTCTACTGAAGAAACAAAGTCACCTACATCTTGGATGCCCTGGGGGTAAGCAGATAAACATCACGTTTTCATTTTTGGGTGAACTATCCCTTTAACATACTATCTCTGTATTTAAAAATGTTTTTAGTTACCTCTTGTAGTACACTTGAACCCATCTTTCATACACTCAAGTGTACTACAAGCGGTGACTAAATACATTTTTGAAATACGGAGATAGTATGTTAAAAGCACATTTTAGTTCATTTTCATGGTGTCCCAAAATAGCACAGTTGAGTACACTTAGATGTAATTAAGAAGTACTAAAGTATAATTTTTAGTATGTTAAGTACAAAATTAGTGTGTGTGAAAATAGAGCACTTTAAGTACATTATGGAAGTGTACTTTTTTATTTTTATTTTTTACCTGGGATACTGTATATTCACAATAATCTGGTGATCGAGCAACATTGACAGCAACAATAACTTAAACCTGCCTAAGGTGGTTAGCTTTTCTGTTTTGATGGATAAGATGATAGTGTACCAACTAAACCAGCTTAAGCAGGGTGAAATCTGATTCATTTCTGTGAATCGGGTCAGATTGTCTGATTCAGCGATTCTTTTCTGTCATCACTTAGAAATGTTCACGGATATCTTTGTATGGAAGCTTGTTTTTGCCTCTGAATAAAAATAAAAAAGGTAATTGCAATGTTTTATTTCACAATTCTCACTTATTTTGTTCTAGGAATTTTGTGGTGTAATCACGCAATTGTGAGTTATAAAGTCAGAATAACATGATATAAATATGCAGTTCTAAGAAAAACTGAATTTAAATAAAAAGTTTCAATTGACTTTTTTTACTTAGTGTCAGAAATGGGCTTCCTAGCTTAGTGAGAAACAAGTACACTTAAGCTTTTTTTATTATGGAAATAATATACTTTCAAAAGAATATACTGTTCAGTGCAAACTGAACGTAATGTTTTCGGACACTTAATTACATGTTGCTGTTAAATGAAAATGTATTGTAGTTTAAATTCATATTAAATGCACTCTAAAAAATGCTGGGTTAAATACAACCCAGTGCTGGGTAAAATAGGGGCAAACCCAGCAATTGGGCTGTTTTGACCCAGCGGTTGGGTTAAATGTTTAACCCATCCTTCTGGGTAAGTAACCCAACTGCTGGGTCAAAACAACCCAATTGCTGGGTTTGTCCCTATTTTACCCAGCACTGGGTTGTATTTAACCCAGCATTTTTTAGAGTGTGAAATTAGCTTTGCTTTTTGACCCACTTAAGTAGGACTTAAGTACATCTTTATATGTAATTTCATAATTACTTCTATGGTCTTTAAAATAGTATAAATGTTCAAGTGAACTGCTGAATGTACTGACAAGCATTTATGGAAAACTAAAATATTTTAATATAATTTTTTTTAAACTTGCATGTCTAAATATTTAAATATATTTGTAATATATATTTGCTACACATTTGTAGTGATCATGTTGCAATTTAGTACCTTTAAAATATATTAACTTTTAACGTAATATTGAATAACACTACATTTAAAATTATAATCAAGTGCTTTTTACATGCGCTTTAGTATGTTAGTCAGCACTTAAAATTAAAGTATGACCAAATATTAAAATAATTGCTTTAAAGTAAAATGTTTAATTTCACATTATTACAAAGTGCACTTTTTAAAAGTGTGTTATGAAACGTAGGTTACACTTGATTTTGTTACTTACAATAGCATTAGGGTTTGAATTCGGGTTTAGTGTGGGGTTAGTTGCATGCAATACACGTACATGCAAGAACCGTTTTTACAAAAATAAAAGTACACTTATTTTTTGCAAGGGGTGTGTATATAAAATGGAAATAATTTTTTTCATGCTGCTTTGTTCAAATGGTGAAATACCTTTTTCTAAATTTTGAATGTTATACATTTTTTAAACAATTTTGGATCTCTGACAACAGTGGGTTTGTTTGAAATGACATATTTAGATATTTCAGAGCTAGACGTATAATGCATATCATCAGAAACCGAGACGTTCTGGCGTTATCACCCAGCCCTATCATTTACTTGGAGCTAGATTCATTTTTTTCTGCACAGTCGACAGTGTCAGTGCTCGTGTATATTGTTTTACGTACGTGAGGTTACAGTGGAAGGAAAAAGGATACAAAGCAGCATGCAGGAAGTTACAGCTCCGGACAACAGGAAGCGAGGGATTCCTGCTCGCCTGCCTTCATTCCTCAGGTTGACCTTTAGGGTCATGAAAGACTGGACCCAGCAGAACAGTGTTCCTAGGCCAAAGGTCATGGACGTGCCAATGTTGTGCAGCTCCTCATCGTTGGACAGCTAGATCAGCAAAACAACCGAGGTGTTAAGGTGAAAATAGATCACTTAAAAAGTAATGCAGAATTCTACAGTACATATTATGAAAAAAAAACATTTAAATGTGTAGAAATGTTTCATTTTGGCATGAAAGAATATCTTTGTTAATCTGTTAATAAGTGATTCAATATTGTGTTTGCAAAACAAAAAAATAAATCATACCTGGAAATTCCCAACTAAAGTCATACCAAAGCAGGCAAGAGACAAAGCCACCAGACTGCCGATGTTGAGCCAGGGTTTATGCACTCTCGGCTTCAGCTGCAGATATCGCAGCACTCCCAGAATAAAGCCTGGAGCCCAAGAGACCATGAACATTTATTGCAAACAATTCTACATTCATTCTAAGATGTAGATGAGTTTGTTTCGTCATCAGATTTGGAGAAATTGCATCACTTGCTCAGCGATGGATGCTCTGCAGTGAATGGGTGCCGTCAGAATGAGAGTCCAAACAGCTGATAAAAACATCACAATAATCCACACCACTCCAGTCCATCAGTTAATGTCTTGAGAAGATGAAAGCTGTGTGTTTGTAAGAAACAAACCCACCATTACTGTGTTTTTAACTTCAAACTGTTGCTTCCAACTAAAATACATGTCTTCTATTCATAACATTGCTTCCTCCAGAGAACTGTCATCATGGGGCCCGTTCCTCGTACCTCGCTGAATACATCCGAGATGATTTGAAAGATGCCAGATCTTCTAATCGTGATAACTGATCTCTGGCTAATTTGGTTCTTCAAACGAATTTGCGGCTTTGATTCAAATATCTGGATTAAGTTGTCTAAGATTAGTGCGCGTTCTCGTGTTCCCCGTAAAGGGCAGATGTATCGATACTCGAGACCACGATCAGCAATCAGTGTTGCCAACTGCTCTCAATTGAAAGTAGCTAAAACTGTAGCTAAATGTCACTAGATGACATCACAATGGCAAATTCAGTGATCTATATAAAGATGAATATAGATCAGTGGGCAAGATGAGAACTTCGATAAGGTTTGTCCAAGAAGTTGCTATATTTGTCCCTAAACTTTTTTTAAAAAGACTCAAAAGGGGTGGGGAAGTCGCTAAATCTAGCTACAAAATTGTTAAATTGGCAACACAGTCAGCAATGCAGCGATTGGCTGGCGGCAATACAGCAACGCAAGGACATCATATAAT